TTGTATAAATAGAATAGCTTTTTGCTTAAGTTGTAAATTAACTCTTTTGCGAGTTTCAAGTTATAAATAAAGGAATCAATTTAAATCTATACAAACTACTTTTCCCTTTAATGTTGTCCTTCACCTAGGATTGTTGTGATACACTATACTAACTTGCTATTGAGTTCGTCATTATGAGTTTGACTAACATATCTTAAGTTTTAAGATGTGATAAATTGCTGAGTTGATTCAAGTATAACAGATACCTGTAGAACTTAGAGAAAACCCTAAGGTCGTAAACTCCAACGTATAGAATCAGCTGTTGCAGCCTTTCAACTTAGATGTTAAGATAAATGAAAACGAATCTGGTGACACCAGTTAGATTAACTCAAACAATAATTTCTTGTGGAAAATTACCTCACAGAACTTTTTTAAGTTTGAAAATTACAAGAGAAGGAAGTTTAGTTCCATTAGCCATACAAGTTAAAACTACTGTAAAATTAGTTTTTTCATGTCCTGTTATACAAATGCTAATAGATCACGTTCTTATCTCATCAATAGTAATATCATTAGAGTTTCATTCATATTACCAATTAATGCTGAAGAATAATCATGATGAATGCGTCTATACATAATAGATATCAAAAATTTCTATTGCTTTTCAATTAGATTATCTGGTAAACTTTATGCAATAATAGTATAATGATGATTACTTAGATTATTGCGACTCATTAAACCATCTACCCATTTTTTACTAAAAGCAAAAGATTGAATATTAGGACAAATAGCTTGCCATTGATTTTGTTATGCAAATGCTTTACCTTTTAATTATATCATACTTTGCGAAACTGTTTGTTGATTATTTCTTCTTTCTTTTATCCATTCAACCAAAGCAGTTTCTAAAGCAGGATATTTTGGAGGTGAACCTTTATTTAACTGTTTTAAATCTGGTTAAGCCTTTAAAAGTTGTAGTTTTTTAGATATCCAATTCTAAATTTGCTTTGTTTCAATATTAAATTTAGCTGCAGTCTTATTTTTGCTATGACCATTTTCATGATATAAAATAACTACTATTTTTTTCACACGTATTTCATTGCCTTCGTACCTTTTCTGTTACAGTTGCATAATTTGTTCTTTTATTTACACGCGAACCCATTAAAAAAAAAGAAAAATTTAAGTTGTTTAAGTTGTGCAAGTTGTAAAAAGTTGAAAAAAAACGCGAAAAAAGTTATGAATAAAAAATCGCGTATCTTATTTAACAAAAAATTTCAATGATGATCATTTGATCATTTAAATTGTGAATTGTTAAAATACAGAAAATGAATTTTTAAAATATACTTTTAATAGTTTTTTTTAGCATTAGTTTTTGTTAACTTTAATATTAAAATAATATTATTTAATATTAAAAAATTTATTTGAATGCTTAAAATAAAGTATTAAAGTCATTTTTTTAAAAAAGAATTATTTATTTGAATTTTTAAACTTGAAATGCTGAGAAAGAAAAAACTTTTTTTTTATTTTTCTTTATTTTTTTTTTTTTCTTACAGTAGATTATCTAAACTAATTAGTACCCCTTTTCAGTATACCCCAGTATAGTACTTTACTCCTTATATAGTATCCCTAGGGATACTATTTAAGCTAACCTGATATTTTTGATTAAGACTAATAATACTGTATGCAGTGCTATACGGTAAGTCTGGAATGATCTTAACTAAAAATAATTGCAAAAGCCAATCAGCATTGACTCAATTATTGAGCGGTCATCCAGACATTTGCAGAAGTATATAGTCCTTTACTTCATTCTAGACTAATAAACGTGATTTATAAAGTTGCCATTTTTTTGCACACCACTGTACTATGTTATAAGTGAAAAGCGAAATATCAGAATCTGCGATGATTTCTATTATAGAATATCTATAACTCGTGAATTGACAATGAATAAACAAATAAACCCTTTGGGTTCCTGGTTTAAATTTTAACTTTTAAATTTTAATGTTACGTGAATAAAAATTGCTGATTTGTGTGGACTTTAGTTTAATTAATAATTAAAAATAATTCTACTAGGAAAGCATCACATAAATTATATAATATCATTCATTCTTTTTACCTAATACCATTCTCCCTTTTTATTTTTTTTTATTTTTTACTTTTAAATAAAGATAATGCGAAACTACCGCGCTTTTAAAAATAAAAAATCGCCAATGTCATAAATCAGTGCTAATGCCAAATGAATCTTTTTTTGCAAAGCCGTACTGAATATAGTATTATTTGAAATAGAAAATGAATACAAATATAGTTGGAAATTGGACAAATATGCAGTTCTTGAATAATTATACTCTACAATTTTGACTATTTTTTAAATTAAAAGATTAATTAGATTAATATTAAATTTCAATAAATAAATGATACTCCTTTAAATAGCTTATTTTCAACGAATTTATTATCTCCACCTCCAGAAAGAATAAATTTCGCCACTGCTTATCAATTTCTTGCTATAATTATGGCACATAAATATATGTTAATTCCTGAATTAATTGTTTAATTAGTTTATTAATTGGAGTTGAAAAACATGAGTTAAAATTTCATATTGGAAGTAAATGGTTAGTATTCAACCCAATGATGATAACTTAATAATGCATTTGATGATGTCGATAGATATCAGAATAAAAAAGGTTAAGCTTATATTCAAATACATTGGTTTATTATGCTTTTAAATTGGTGTTGGATTTGCGATAAACACAACTATATTTTAGGTTCAAAATCTATCAAATATGGAAAGTTTAGAGTTGTTCCACAGATATTTCAATCAAGATTAAGGTTGCAATGGTTACGGAGAGCTGCAGATGTAATGGTCAACGGAATCTCCAAACAAATTTCACCAAATTGGGGATGTAGCTAATGGTGCGAGTGTAGTGTAGTGGTGGTAGCAACAACAGATAACAACACAGGTGTAAATTATAAGTGGTAAACAAAGAAAGAAATTATTCCAGCTTTAGTATAACTACACACTATATAACAAAACTGCCCATTTTCAAATTTTCACAACTAATATCGAAACTTGATAAACGATTAATCACGATTAGGGATGGTAACGGCCGGTCAAGGCCTTTGACCGACCAGATGACCGGACTAGGGTTAAATAGGTCCGGTACAAAAAGACCGGTCTTTCATCTTTCTTTGGACTGGACCGGTCCATAAGTCAGTCCTAAGACCGGTCTTGTATCATTCGGTCCCC